AATATTTGCAGAGCTCTTAGCTCTGGGGACAAGGTAAGGTACCATACATTTGCATGCATGCCTGTGGCCTCTTTTTATCTGGGGACCAGGTAAGGCACTACTGTATAGGTATATTTGCATTGTCCTTTATCTGGGGACCAACTAAGAGACTATACAGGTAATGTTTGATTGTAATGGTTCATAGCTCTTGAGACCCGGTAAGACCATACACTTGATATACGTTTGGTCTTTTGTACCTAATTTTTTGTTTATTGACATCTCTGTATATATACTGCTGGCCTAGATTATTTTTCTCTTTTTTTCAGTGCATTTGCCAAAAAGGAGAAACTGATCACACAGCAGGAGCTGGAGATGTCTATGCATCACATTCTGGAATTCTTGGAAGTGCCAGCTTTACTTCTCAACAAGAACATGAACGCTGAACCCTGACTTATGTTATATTAATTCTGAAAGGTTGTTTCTCCAAACGGTAGAATAACTAGAACTTAGTAGAAGGAAATTGTATGATGAACTGTACAAAAATCCTGCATTTGTTTGTTTGCTTGTTTGTTTTCTATTTGTCTGAGTAGCATTTACATATAACAATATTTATAAAACTGTTTAAGGCCATACCAATTTAATTTCTTGATTAACAGCTTCGCCTGCTTCATTTTTTTCTGATTTGCAAATTTAAAAAAAATTCAGAATCTACCTCAAAATGCTCATATTTTGCCCTTAACAGTTAAAAACAGTCATTTTCATCATACTTGTTACAGTTATTCCATCTTTCAATGCAATAGTATCATTAAAAGTTCAAAATCCATTGTTTAAATTTTGAACCAGCCTAGTGTGTTTACTTCATGGCTCCTATCGTACCATTTTGGGCCATAATAGGATGCCTAGGCCTGTTTTTATTTTTTTTTCGCCCGCCCACTCCATTATTTTTCTAGAAAAATCTGTTAACCAAGAAATTAAATTGGTGTGGCCTAAGGCATAACATTTTACAGTAACTAGATTCATTACCTCTAGTACCTGTGGACATTTCCCGTATATTGATAATGCAAAGTATATTATTTTTAGCACAATTCAATTATTATTAAAGCTGAAAATACACCTTTTCACTCTTGTTTCAATAGACTTTTATTTTCAGTGTAGTTCAAGTCAGTATACAATACATGAACTGCAAATACACAGCATCAAAATCATGTATCCCACCATAATACTTGAACGCACGCCTGTCATTAACAATCCCAGTACTTCTAGTTAATTGTAGTGACCGAGTAACGAGTAAAGACTAAAACGACTGTAGAATGAATGGTCTGTGCAGTTTGGAGGTAATGTAGGAATTAGGAATTTACTTGATGAAAAGGACAGCCTTAATCCGTTTAGGAATTTTTCCATAGTTGCACTCAAGCTTTCTTGAGGAACGTAAACCTTTGTTTTAAAAAGTTTAGAGAAATCTATGCTTTCATGGCGCAAATTTCAACTGAAAATAACTCGATGACCAAATACGGTATCAGATATGGAATTTATACAATAACTTTATAAGCCTCCATGAATATATCAGCCGAATTTGAAAGAAATTCGTTCAGATTTAAGCGAAAAACGCAAACCGACACGTTTTAAGCTCGCGCAAAGCGAGGTTGCCTTCAAACGGCTATGTTTCACATAGACAAATCTAGGCCGATTTTGACCGCATCACGCAAAATTGCGTTTTCCTTTCTAGACCGAGAAGGAAATAATATTTTTGGATGAAACTTGG